CATTCTTATGTGTTTGTAGTCCAGGCCATATGAGGTACTTTCCAGAATGAAAGAAAAATGGTTACGTAAAATGCTCTGAAGTGCTTGCATTTGCTATTTTGCTTTGTTTTATAACCTTCGGTACGAGAGTTGGCATTTGTAGAAGCTGAAAATATTGGCTTCTGCTCTGCAAGAGATTTCTGCCTTCCACTTTTCTTCTTTTCTTTTTTTAACATCTTTATTGGAGTATAATTGCTTTACAATGGTGTGTTAGTTTCTGCTTTATAACAAAGTGAATCAGTTATACATATACATATGTTCCCACATCTCTTCCCTCTTGCGTCTCCCACCCTCCCTATCCCACCCCTCCAGGCGGTCACAAAGCACCGAGCTGATCTCCCTGTGCTATGCGGCTGCTTCCCACTAGCTATCTACCTTACGTTTGGTAGTGTATATATGTCCATGCCTCTCTCTCGCTTTGTCACAGCTCACCCTTCCCCCTCCCCGTGTCCTCAAGTCCATTCTCTAGTAGGTCTGTGTCTTTATTCCCGTCTTACCCCTAGGTTCTTCATGACATTTTTTTCTCTTAAATTCCATATATATGTGTTAGCATATGGTATTTGTCTTTCTCTTTCTGACTTACCTCACTCTGTATCCATCCACCTCATTACAAATAGCTCAGTTTCGTTTCTTTTTATGGCTGAGTAATATTCCATTGTATATATGTGTCTGGCTTCCACTTTTAATGTACACGTACCCACCCGCACTGTGCACAGCCTGATTATTTTCTACTGTGAGACATTTTCCCTGTCCTTTTTTAGAACTTTAATATGAAAGAGCAGGAAAACGAGGCATGTCCTACAAACCAGGTGAGCTTTGGTGGCGCAGGGTTCTCCTGTGCCCAAACTCCCTGTCACTGTCACGGCAGGCATGGCCTCCTCGTCCCAGACCTCCAGGGAAGCCAGCCTCTCAGTGCACCGGCCACTGTATTGTGTGCCTTCTGCCTGCTTTTAAATTGACCTTTTCATTTTGAGAGAACATACATTCACGTGTAGCTGTAAGAAGCAATACGGGGAGAGCGGTGTTCCCTTTACACAGCGCGCTGTCACAGCCGGGGCGCCTCCCCACCCGCATGCTCTCCATTCCTACCGTTTTCTCGTTTCAAGAATGTTATACAGTTGACCTTGAACAGCACAGGGGTTGGGGTGCCGACGCGAGGCGCAGTCGGAAACCCGTGTAACTTATAGTCGGCCCTCTGCGTCCTCATCCTTGGACTCGGCCAACCTCAGGCCATGCAGTGGGGCAGGTCGTGCTTAATGAAAAAAAATCTCTGTCTCAGTGACCCGTGCAGTTCAAACCCGTGTTGCTCGAGGATCACCTTTGTATACATGGGTGTAATGTATGTAACCTTTGGGATTGGCTTTTTCACTCAGCCCGATTCTCTGGAGATCCATCCAGGTTACTGCGCGTGTCAATAGTTTGTTGCTTTTCACTGTCGCGTGGTGCTCCATGGTCTACAGTGTGTTCGGCCAGTCACCTGCTGAAGGGCACTGGGTCGTCTCCGGTTTGGGGCTGTGGTGAATAAAGTTGCTATCAACATTCCTGTGTACGTTTTCTATGTGAACGTAAGTCTTCATTTCTCTGGAATAAATGCCCATGTTTAGTTTTAAGAAACCACCAGACTGGTTCCCAGAGTGGCTGCACCATTTTACATCCCCACCAGCGGCATGTGAGTGATCCAGTTTCTCCCCATCCTCGCTGGCCCTTGGGTTGTCATTATTTTAGCCGTTCTTGTAGGTGTGTGGTGGAATCTCACGTGCTTTTAAGTCCCATTTCCCTAGTGACTAATGAGGATGGCCATCATTTCCCGCGGGAACATCCATCTGTGTGCATTCTTTGGTGAAATGTCTCTTTCTAATGGGAGCGTGCGTTTTATCGTTGAGTTTCTTGTATGTTTTGTTTGTTGACGTGGTTTTCAGGTATTTGCTCACAGTCCATAGCTTGTCTTCTCATCTTCGTAACAGGGTCTTTAGCAGAGCAAAAGGTTTTTAATTCCGATGGGTTCCAGTTCATCATTTTTTCCTTTTGTGGATTGTGCTCTTAGTGGGTAATCTGCACACTCTTTGCCGAGTCCTGGATCCCACGGATGTCCTCCTATGATTCTTGTAAACGCCTTGTAGTTTCATGCTTTACGTTTAATAAGCCCATGGTCCATTCCAGGTGAATGTGTGTGTGGGGTGTGAGCTCTAGGTGCCCGGCTGCCCAGCACTGTCTGTTGACAAGGCTGTCCTTCCTTCATTGCGTTGCTTGTGCACCTTTGTCAACAATGAGCGGGTGTTCTGTGGGGGCCTGTCTCTGGGTCTTCTGTTTTGTTCTGTGTGGTCTGCCTGTCTGTCTTGATGGCTCGGACTTCATAGGCGGTGTTGAGATCAGTTACTGATTCCTCCCGCTTCTTTTTTATGGTGGCTGCTTTAAAATTTTCTCAGATAATGCTGATGTCTCTGGGTCGGCATCAGTTGTCTTTTTCCATTCGGTTTGAGATCTTCCTGGCTCTCAGTGTGATGAGTGATTTTTGATTGGAACCTGGACATATTATGTTACAAGAACCTGAGTCTCACTTGGACCTCTGCTTCAGCTGGCTTTCTCTCACGGCCCTCTGTTGGGGAGGGGAGACGCCACCTCATCGCTGCCGGACGGGGGTGCACGTCCAGGTTCCCTGGCCTCCACTGGCACTGCTGGGTGGTGGCCTCCTGTGACACCCGCAGTGGGGAGGGAGCAGGCGCCTGGGTACCGCCAGGTGGGGTGGAAGTCCAGGCTCTCCGCCTGTTCTCCCTGACTCTGCATTGCCGGGAGGGGGCGAGGGGGGAGGGGGTCATCACAGCCCAGAGAGAATGAGACGCGAGGCTCCCCCACCCCATGTCCTTGCTGGATGGGAGGCTGGGGTCTGGCTGAATAGGGCAGTTTGGTCTGTCAGGTTCCTGTCCTGCTGGGAGGTCCTCTCCTGGTCCCTTGGCCAGAGAGACAGTTCTCGTTGGGTGTTTTGGTCTGCCCATTGGTGTTTCCAGGCTGCCGGCTTCGTCAGCTCCAAGCCTGGGATAATGATGCAAAAAGAAGACGTAAGGGACTCACCGCCACACCGTCCCCAGGTCCCCTGCTGCTCTGCCGCCTCCCCTCCGCCCTCCCGAGCCTCCTCGTGCTTGTTGTGTCTGTGCCATCCGGGGTTTTCAATTGGGCTAAACGGGGGACGTGCCCTCCGTCTTCCCACCACACGAGCCCTTTTGCCTGCTCTGAAGCCAGCTCTCAGCCAGTAAGAACACAGTGCTCTGGACAGCTTGAGTGGTTGCTTCCAGAACTGATAACTGAGCTTCTCAGAAGCGCCTTCTGAGTGCCTTTCTCACACAGCCTCTGTGCTTCCCGCATGCTATACCTGTGCATGGTCTTCACGGTGTGTCCCACCCCCTCTCCTCCAGGATCAGCTTAACCATCACACGCCCTGACCGTGGCCGAGAGGACCCTTGGAGCACCTGCATCTCACTGAGGGCATGGGGCGGCCTGGCACTCGTGCCCATTCCAGACCTCAAGGAAATTACTTTCATTGAAACTATTCCCTAGTGGAAATATTAAAACACACACCGATACAGAATTGTGTGGTGAGCCCGAGTGCCCATCAGGCAGCGCCAGCATCACCAGCCGTGGCCCCTCAGTTTCATCCGTATCTACTTCTTCCCACCACATGGGATCATTTTATAATAATAAACCCCAGGTATCATTTCGTCTGTAAATATTTCAGTATACATCAGTAAAAGTTAAGCACTATTTCCACACCTAAAATGACTGAAAGTTACTCCTTAATACAATCAGCTATCCAGACAGTATTTTTACTTAAATTTCTCAATGGCAGAGTCAGTCTGATTCATTTTAGGTTCTTGTAATACCCAGTACTGTGCTTTTCATATAATAAACTTTCAGAAATTTATGTTGAAGTAATTCATCAATATAAAATGTTAATGCTTTAAAAACTGTCTGGAACACTTCCTTGAATAAACGAGTCTAAATAAAAACTCGTTTAACTTTTAACTCATTTAACTGTCTGTTCACCAGATAAACAGTGGGAGTTAATGTCATTAACAAATGATTGTCGCGGAAACTATTTTACATATATGTCATGTGAGAGAGATGTATAAGGTACAGGCAGGATTTAGCACATTTTAGTCACCGTTTTCTTAAAAGCAATAAATTTGCCTCTTAACTGATTTATAATATAAATTTAATTTCTATAAAAAAAAATGTGACTACAAAACTTGCAGATCTTTTTCCTCAGTGGCAATTTGACGGGATTCTTTATTACAGATCATATGTTAGTACAGTCCTGCAAAGTACAGCCAAGGTATTTAGGAAGAGGAAACTCTTAAATTTGTTAATAATTATATAATTGCAATAATTGTTCTTTGAGGATTTCTTGTGGTTTCTCCTGACAACAGAATAATAAGTTGTACGCGGCTAAGAAATTAGATCCGACTTGAACAATCATGTACTTCTTAGTTTCGTCCATGTGATGCTGCTCATTCCAGGTGAAGGGGAGGAGTAGGGTGAATGCTGTGGCGTGTTCTTCCACAGCTTTATTTTATAACCCAAACCAAAGTCTCCCCAGAACAGAGATCAAGTGGCAGACGGGCGGGAGTTCCGTTTGGGGGTTGTCTTGACGAGAGGTGGCTTTCTGAGATTGAAGTGTGTCACCCTTCCCTTGGTTCGGAGCTCTCCATGGTCCTGACCCCTGGAATCCAGGCCGTCCTCCGCAGCGTGGCCCGAAATCTTCCCTGCCATGGTACCCGCCCCCCGCAACAGCAGAGTCCTGGCCGGGATCCTTGGGGGGACGCTGGGGGTCCTGTACCGTGCTGAAGAGGTGGGGGAATGTTCTGTCCAGAGGGCAGACCTAACCGTCCTTGTTCTGCGATTTTTTCCACAGAGGAGACTTCCCTCGTATGACTGGTTCGCTCAGTGTCATTTTCTTGCTCTTTCAGACAGGAACAGTCTCCGCCGGTCAAGAAACCCACACAAGTATTTTGCCATGGATGTAGAAGATGAAGAGAACATGAGTAAGACCTAGGCCTATCACGTAGTATCAAGCGGCTAATTTTCTCTTAAAAGCTTAGTGTTGTAAACTTATTGAATGGCACCAACTTGGGGGGGGGCGTGATTCTTTTCCTTCGATACAGACTGTTAACGGTGGCATGTGTTTAATTTTTATGTAATCTCTACAGTAGGTATCGGTGTCTGCTGTGGGCATTTCCTTACAGCCGTTTGTCTGGATTTTCATTCCTTGCTGTCGTCCTGGGGTCCTGATGCACATGCCCGGAAGGGGGAGGCTTGCCTCCAGGTGCACGTGTCATAAAGCCGCATGGCTTTGTGCTCTGTCACTGCATGGTTCTCATGATCATGGTCCTGTTTCCATCTGTGTAAATCTGAGATAACCTTTGAGATTGGTCATTTGGGGTGACGGTGCATAAAATCTTCCCTTCAAATACGGTGGGTTGTCCGTGCGTTTTTGAAGGAAGGGGACTCGCATGAGTCTGTTGATCTTGTTTCCAAAGACTTTGATGGGCCTTCGGGCCGGCGTGGCCTGAAACTCCTTTCCACACTGCCCTCTGGGATGGAGGGGACGGAGGGGCAGAGAGCCTCAGCTTTCCCCCTCTCGACATTGTTCATAGATGTTCATAGATGAAGAGTTCAGTGAATATACTTCTCTATTCTGTTTTGTCTTTAATCCCGGATAGCAGAGCATTTGCATAAGGTTAAACGCCCCCACAGAAGTTGGGAGCTTTCGGTAGGGAAATCACAACAGAGACATCAGTGTTCTGGTATGTGTGTAATGTGCATTGTTACTTGTCCGTGTTGAGAGGTCCCGGGAAGAACCCACAGGCGTGAGTGACGAACAGTCACCGAGAATGAGGATACAGTCCACCACTTTCCCTCGGCCTCACCCAGAACCCACAGCCGAGGCCTTGGAGTTGGCTTGTCTGCACGCAGAAGCCAGGGGTTCTGCTCCACGAGTGTAGTGGGTGCCGTGGAGTCGCTGGGTCTTTGCCGGGTGACCCCGCAGTCGTGTGCCCTCAGGCTGGAGGCCATTCCTGGGACGCAAGTGTGAGAAGACGTGACCAGGCGTGGTTTCAGTCCATGTGGCAGCACCTCCTCCCGAGGCCTCTGGCTGCCCGTGGTGCTGCCCCCAGCACAGCTGCTCTCGGGGTCTTTGGAACCCAGCCTGTGTTCTCAGGGGTCAGCCCACTCCCCACTCCCGTTGTCACCCACGGCGCCGGTCAGCAGGTATGGGAGGAAATGTCACAGTGTGTGTAGGGATATAACTATCCCCAGACTGACCCGGTAGTCTCTTACCGAGATAAAGAATCCTTCTGAATACATTTTCTGGAAAGATAAACTGTTGGTTCTAGTGCTGGAACTTTGAAATGCCAGTCCTGTATTTTCTATCGTTTTGAAAGCGATGAAGAATTTTCATCATGGTTAATATTCACATTTATGAGATAAAGTAGCATGATATGGAAAGCGAAAGCATCTATCTAAGAAGAGTTATGGTAGTGGGAGGTCTTTCTCCAATTTTAGTGTTTTATTTTCCTTTACATAGTAGCATTTTTAGTAAAGTAGAACATGAACCGTATTTCCATGCTTCTGGAGCAAATAAGAACTTAGAATCTATGTGAACTGTCTGATAGAAAGTGTATTTTTCTATAATCAATACGGATTATTTTTATTTTTTAAAAGAAAGCATTTGTTTGTTCCAGAGACTATAAACATTTGATTAAATGCATGTCAGGATATATTTATTATGATCTGACTTCTGTTCAGCGGTAACGTCAGAACTAAGCTATCATGGAGCCTGTGATGTTCTTGCTTTGTTAATCTCAATTCTGTCCTGCCCCACCCTTTCTAACCTTTTGTTTCCCTTGAGCACCGAAAGGAGTAACCTATTGAGCTTTTGCTGGAGGATGTTATAAATGAAAATTTAGTGTCCATTCCGTCAGCTTTGTCAACTGGGAGAAGTGGTGTGTGTCAGGAGTACGCAGGAGGCGTGAAGTCTGTAGGGAAAGCGTGGCCATCTCCCAACCTCTGCCGCGGTGTGGTGGCAGTCTTCCCGGGGCCCGTGTTTAAACCAGGGCTGTTTTCACGTCTCAGCTGAGTGGTGACAGCCCTGGGAATCTGAGAGCTTGAACTGTGGGGACTGGCAGCCGGTGACCCAGACTTGCTGCCGCGTTAAGCCCCTCCCAGGGGTAGGGCCGATGAGCGCTTTCACTGTTTTTCTCAGTTTCCTTAGCATAGTCAGAATCTACTTTCACCTTATGTAGTAGAAACGGACCGAGGGCCACCGTATTGGGGTACTTGTAAACTGGCTTACAATTGTGAAAAATATTTCCGTTGCTTAAAAGACTTACGTGGATTCTCAAAAACTAGTGGTAGGTCTTCAAGTACATTCATGTCAACAGTATTGTGAAGCCCTGTGCTAGTTACCCCTGAGCTTCCTGCGGCCAACAGCGTGTGCAAACTAACCAGGAAAACAAGGAGTTACTTCTTTTTCTCTTTTTAAAAAAGCTTTATCTGATAAACTTAAAGGGGAGAGTGAATGCTTTTTTATTCCCCTTTTTGCAATTAAAATCATATTTATTTTGCCGTGAACTTTTAGAGTTCTAAAATTATCTTTATTAATTGTAAAACTAAACTACCTTTAAGTGGTAGGATAGCTAAATTATTCTGTAAATCCATCAAATATTTGTTTTTCTAAAAAAGACAAAGATGCCACCTTCAGTTGGGAAGTTAAGAGAGCTGTGGCCGTCTGCAGTGTCAGTCTTCCTATCTTGCCTTGTATATTTTTTTCTATCATGGGATGTATTAAGGATTCAGAGGCAGATCAGTCCCCATACATAATGAGAAAATGTTAATACTAGAAGTGAAGCTATATCCTTCAAAATAATTTCTAAAAGGCCAGAATACTTTACATAAGCAGTTTTCTAAGATCCATGAATCAAAACCAAATAACTGCACATATTAATTGCATCTTTTAAACCAGAAGAACTAAGTAACTTGTGAATGCGTGTTTTAAATAATGTCTTCTTTTCTGGGAAAGGCTGCAATTGAAAGCCCAACATGAGTATAGTATGAGAGTAGATGGCATTGAAAAGGAAGAAAATGCCAAAATAAAGTGTACATTTGTCGATACTGATATTAGATTTATTAGTGTAAGGTCTTTCTGGGTTAGTTTATCATCCCACATTTTGATAAACTTGAATAAAATTCCTCTAGATGCTTCGGAGTGTTCTCGTAGAAAAAGATGATTTAAAAATTCACCTTTTAATGCAAAAGCAGTCCGTGATACTAAATAGAAACAGGATTAGTTATTATTTCTCAGAACGTCAGATTACTCCAATTATTCCAGTTTAGGTGGATAGCTCTGTGGTTAAACGCACAGCTCCACACGTATGCAGCCAGGAACAAAATGTATAAGCACACATCACTTAACCAGTTACAAAGGGCGATAAAGGAATCTATAAATTTTGCATTTACAAGATCCTGCAACGAAGGCGTTGTAAGTTACTCTTTCTGGGCACCGCAGGTTCGAGCAGCACAGATGTTAAGGAAAACTGCAGTCTGGACGGCGCGCCCCCCAAGGACGGCAGCGCCCCGGGGCCTGGCGAGGGCGCCCCGCTCTCCAACGGGGGTGGCGGGGGCGCCGGCAGGAAGCGGGCCCTGGACGAGAGCAGCAATGGCCACTCCAAGTTCCGCCTGAAGAAGCGGAGGAGGGCGCCGGGGCCCGCGCTGCCCAAGAACGCGCTGATGCAGCTCAACGAGATCAAGCCTGGCCTGCAGTACACGCTGCTGTCGCAGACGGGCCCCGTGCACGCCCCCCTCTTCGTCATGTCCGTCGAGGTCAACGGGCAGGTCTTCGAGGGCTCCGGCCCCACGAAGAAGAAGGCCAAGCTGCACGCGGCCGAGAAGGCCTTGCGCTCCTTTGTCCAGTTTCCCAACGCCTCTGAGGCCCACCTGGCCATGGGCCGGAGCCTGTCCGCCAATGCAGACTTCACGTCCGACCAGGCCGACTTCCCCGACGCGCTCTTCAACGGCTTCGAGACCCCGGACAGGCCGGATGTGCCCTTCTACCTGGGCGCCAATGGCGACGACTCCTTCAGCTCGAGTGGGGACCTCAGCCTGGCTGCGTCTCCCGTGCCTGCCGGCCTGGCCCAGCCACCCCTCCCCGTGCCCCCGCCGTTCCCACCCCCGAGCGGGAAGAACCCCGTGATGATCTTGAACGAGCTGCGCCCGGGACTGAAGTACGACTTCCTCTCGGAGAGCGGGGAGAGCCACGCCAAAAACTTCGTCCTGTCTGTGGTCGTGGACGGGCAGTTCTTCGAGGGCTCGGGGAGGAGCAAAAAGCTCGCCAAGGCCCGGGCCGCGCAGTCCGCCCTGGCTACTGTCTTTAACTTGCGCCTGGACCAGACCCCGTCTCGCCAGCCTGTCCCCAGCGAGGGCCTCCAGCTGCACTCGCCACAGGTGAGGAAAGCCGCCCGAGCGCGGCTGCGTGTTGCTCACGCTTTTAGACGGGGTGCGGTTGCCATGGTCACTGGTGTCTTCTCGTCGCTCTGTCCTCAGCACGGGGAGGTCCTGGTAAGTCCGGCTGCCGGGCCGCCTTCCCGTGACTGTGCCGGTTGTGTGGCCGCTGCGAAGCCCAGCCAGGGCCGTCAGGTGCAGTGTGGTCAGTGCCGCCCACGGCGGGTGGGCCGAGGTGCCCTCCCTGTGCCGCCTGCCCCTGTGGCGACCACAGCCCACGGCGGCCTGTCGCGGAGGAGACAGGAGGGGAGGGGAGGGCCGGAGCCCTGGCATCTTGCCCCAGCTCAGTGGGGTCCCCTCTCCGTGTCTCACCTGGGACCCAGGTACAGGACAGGTGAGGCCGGCGGGTCAGCAGCTGAAACCCAAGCCTGGGTCAAGTACCAGCACCTCACGGATGCTGTCCAGGCAGAGGCCGAGCTGCAGCGGTGGCGAGCACACGTCAGAAGGGCCGGGGCGTCGGGGCCTCTGCAAGCGCTCCAGAGCCCGCCGGGTGCCTGGGGGTCTCGGCACCTGGAGTTCCCCAAGGGGTCCCTGTGGCTCCCCTGCTCAGCCGGAGGTGGGCACCCCTCCTAGTTTGGTCTTGGACAGGGTGAGAAGGGGGAATATCAGGGTGAAATTTCAGTGTGAAGAGAGGGGACATTTCAGGGTGGGCTCTGAGGAGTAGGAAGGAGGAAATGATGTTTAGTCGTCATCTCAACACCCTAGAACTCTTCGGTTATTTATTGCTTCTTTTCCTGGAAATCCAAAATTATTCTGGTCTATTGTAAAAATGTTTCTTTCAGGGAGAAAGTTTGACCCTCTTCTCTATTTCTTTCTGTCAAAATATTATTCACTTTGAAGATAAAAAAACACTGATCTGAGGAGAAAAAAATGAAGGACTCCGAATTGACAGGACAGCCCACATTTGCTCAGGAAGCTCGGCTTCCGTCTTGCCTTTCTGTGACCTCTGTGCAACTGTCACCCGAGAGGACCAGTAGTTCTCGGTTTTAAAAAAAGGAAATTTATTTTCTTTCGCTTAAAGCAACCAAATACAGCATCAGTATAAAGTAACATATTCAAAGGATTTCGCTGATTTTTTCTACTCTTTGAGCCAAGTAACCGCTTCCCGTGTATTAACTTCTCGTTAATATTATTCATAAGAACCGTTAGTCCATTTATCATTTTACACATGGGCGGCACTAGTTCCCGAGGGATTTTTTATTTTCAGGTTTACTGTTCGTTAGAGCATTTCAGCCTGAGCCACAGTGGCCCTGTCTTCCCTTACCATTGGCAGTCATGTGAAGAGACTGGACTCGTCAAATGCCGTGACCCCCGGTGCTTGGTTCTGCGTGGGTGACACCCCGGGGGAGGGGGGGCGGGGAGGTGGGCGGAGGTCTGCGTGTGCGTGGGTGTGTGCGTGTGCACTGGCAGCCTGCCTCTACCCTGGCTGTTATGTCAGTGGGGAGCAGTGACCGGAGCCCCTGGCTGGTGGAGCCTTGCCCGGGAGGGGCCGTCTCCGCCCTGCCCAGGTGGCCTCTGTGGCCCAGGCCAGCCAGGTCTGGGAAGGTGGAGCCGTCTCTCCCCCAGCCTGAGCCCGCCCCGCTCACAGGGCCCCCAGGGTGGCTGCCAGCCCCTGAGCGGTACCTCAGGAAGTAGTCGTGTCCTCATCGCAGGACCTGTGCCGGCCTCCAGAGGGTCAGTCCTTACTCTTTCCCCTGGGAATTTCCAGATGTATGGTCTAGAGGGGGGTGAAACGTCCTGCTGTCTTGCGGGTGGAATCCTTGAAGGGCGTGGGTTGGCCATCCCTGGTCTCAGGACTTTTTGCCTCCATGGCGTTCACGGCGGCATCGGAGGGTTTAAAATCAGACAGCGTTGCCCACACGGTGTGTGCAGGGCGGTCTGTCAGTGAACTTGGTGGACGTGGCTGGACCGAGCTGTCCCGCGGGGCCCAGCCTCGAGCTGACTTTGAGCACATGTACCCTTTGTTATTATATCTGCCCCGAATCTAGAGGGAGATTGCTTCACGCCCAGTCCCTTCGGGGGATGGGAGGGCGGGCCTGGGCAGAGGCTGTCGGTGCAAGTGCCTGACTCCACGCTTTCCTGCTTTTCTCTGAGTTCGGAGCCCCGCCTCACCCTGCATGGAGCGGTCTCTGTTCCCTCTGCCTTCCCCTTCCCTCCTGCTGTTCTCTTCCCACCGGAGGGCATCGTCCCATCGTGTGATTGCACGTCCTGACTTTCTGTCCGTGGCCTCGCTGCCTCTCCTGCCTGCACACCTCCGTCCTCTGTGCCTCTGTCTAGGGTGCAGAGTGGGGCCCCGTCCCTGCTCTTCTGGCCACACTCTGTGCCCTTGGCCTTGAGCACCGCCTTCTGGGGCTTGTTGCTGGTGCAGTGGCAGGTGAAAGCATCCTGATGACGCTTCTTCCCAGAGAAGCCACCGTTTAGGACAGCTGGCTTTTCTGTTCATTTGGGAGCATTTTATTGAGGGCCCAGTTGGGGACTCCAGACCAGTGTGAGCTGGTGGGATGTGGGTCCCGCGGGCTCCTGGCACATACCTCCCATCAGGCATCGTTTCCCAAAACACCGAGGGTCCGTTCTATCCAAGATGAATCATAAGCTGTGAAAGTAGGACCGTGTCCAAAATCTCACCGATGTGTTTGCTTCTGAGAAGCACTCCCTTCAGTCCAGTGGCTCCCTGGCCTGGAAATGCACCACGAGAAGTCTTCTAAAATCACATTACACTTGCCCTGTACAAGTGTAGCCTCTGGTGCATTCTGGTGTCACTCGATCTAAGTGACAAATGCCCTTACGGGCTCTAAGCGGTGCTGGTTTCTGAGTGACTGGACCACGGTAATTATTTTTAGATGTTGAAATCACTGAGACACACAGGGACTGGGTGCCTTTGGGAGGGAGGTACTGTGAACTTAGTGATCCTGCAATGTGACCGCCCTTCAGACCTCCCCTTCCTCTTCCCACGTGTCCCCCATGGGGCCTCGCCAGCCCTGAGCTGACTGGGCCGCACCTCCTGTGATCTCACTTCTTCCCAAAGCCCTGCCACTCGGGGGCTGTGGCTGCGGGACTCGGAGCCGCAGAGGGTGGGAGGGGGGTGACCAGGCAGGCGCTCTCGCCTCTGGGCCTGGGTCCCTCCCCTGGGGCAGGGCTGTTGTGAGGAGGCCTCACCTGCTCAGGTGCTGGCTCCCGTGCAGTCGGGCTCCAGACTGTCCTGCAGAGACCCTCGCACGCCCCTTGGGCGTCTGTTTCCAAGGAATGTCTGGGAGGAAAAAATGTGCGCGCACACACACACGCATACACACACACACACACACACACGCACACACTTGTTTGCCAGGCTTACCTTTGTGGTTCCAGAGGAGAGGCCCCAGAACGTGGCCCCAAGGGGAGCACTAAATCCCTGCTTGGTCCGCAGGTCTTAGCCGATGCCGTGGCGCGCCTGGTTCTGGAGAAGTTTGGGGACCTGACGGACAACTTCGCCGCCCCCCACGCACGCAGGAAAGTGCTTGCTGGAATCGTCATGACAACAGGTAACCAAGTTGGCGGTGTGTCCACCTGCCTGCTTTCATGCTTAATAAAGGTGAAATGCTTTCAGTCTAGAAAAATCTCTGTGACACCAGCAGGAGGTCACTTTTTCATTCTCCTTCAGAATGTTTACCATGTGCAGATAGAGGAACTGCGCTTATATTTTCCCCCTACAGGTTCATCTTTTTAACCTAAGGTTTTCATCTGGAGAAAGAGTCCTGTATTAATATTTGATCCCTATAATCTTATGTGAATGGCCTTGATCGACCCTGGAAACCTGCAGGAGAGCTGTTAGTTCTTACTTCACTTGGAAGTAGGACTTAATCCGATTTATCCGTTAATGTTAACGCTGCCAGATAAGTTTCTGTGTGACTTTTACGGGGGAGAGAGGAAGTCCTAGCAAGAGTAGAAAATCTGTGGGGGTAAAGCACGCTTTGGGGTAGCAGAAGAAGCCCTATTAAATTTGTGTCTAAGTTCCCAGCAGCGAAGGGAACCCTCCCTGAGTTCTCTTGCCACATCCCAGGAGTGAGCCCGCTGAGCATCGTCTCTGTGGATCCCTCCTGGGAACAGGAAAGCACGGCCTCGGCCAGTGCCTGCATCTTTGGGTGGCCGGAGGACCCTCAAAGGGGCTGAGTCTGGGGCTGTCCCTTTCTTCTCGGAGCATCTGCTCAGCCCAGCTGGCCAAGCCTGGCCTGCCGTGTGTAGGAAGCCAGCCAGAGGCCAGAGAGGGGGGCGGCGGGGGGTGGTTATCTGTCTACACCCGGCGGGCAGGGGCAACCCCAGTTCCCATGGGGCGACTGCCCGTCCCTTTCTCCTGAGGCGTGGTTCACCTCTGATCATGGACAGGACCCAATTCTGTGATCCTCGGCGCTGACCACGCTCCGTGCCCTAGAGGACAGGATCTCATTTTCTTGCTGTGTCTTTACCTTGGCACGGCTGAGAGCTGTCTGACGGGTAGGATGGATGCTCTGAGCAGTAACTTGGGTTTCAGTGTTCGTTCTGATGTGAGCTGCCTGTGTTTTGTCCCTCTGCTCCCTCCGTCTCCTTGCTGTCGTCCTGTACGCACGTCAAGGTGAACGCGTATGCTCCTGGATGACGTCGTTTCCTGAGCAAGGCGCTGCCCTTCCCGGTGACGGGAGTGAGCGAGCCTGTGGTTTTTCATCCAGGTGTTTTAACCGCCTCAGAAGGGGCATGTTACCTCGTGGGGGCATTTTGCCCCATAGCGTGTGTTGCACTCGGGACCCTCCGCTCGAAGCCACGGTTGACGCCTGAAGGCAGCACCACACTGCGCGTGGCACGTGGTCCTGACGTCAGGAGACCTGGTTCAAATCCCCAGGCCGACTTTGATGGCCCTGTGCCTCAGTCCCCTCATCTACAAATGGAGACAATGGTTGGATGGGCCTCGGAGGACATGGGAGGGAAGTGAGGTACCTTCCCCGACAGGCCGCGCGCAGGGCCCGCGCCCGTCGTACGTGGTCTGTCTGTCGACACCTGCACGTCAGAGTGGTGGCTCCCGAGGTTCCCCAGTGCTGACGGCTGCACTCGCTCCCCGTGCAGTTAAACGGTGCCAGGCTGCCAGACGGCCCCCCGCATGACTCCTGGGCCCCCGGGGTGAGTGTCGGGCGGTCCTCCCAGCCTCTGCAGTGCTTTGATGCTACTCCCAGGATCCATTACCAGGCCAGTCTGTCTACCTCTACACAGTGCTCCCCCGTGTCCACTGGGGAGTGTTCAAGAAAAGACTAGTGCGTTCCAGGTGAAGTAACTTTCCAAGTAGAATCTTTACACGCAAGAGTGGGGAGGGTTACCCTCCCAGAATGTGCAAAGCAAGGCTCGGGGGGGCCCGTTAGCAGCGCCCAGGTGAGGGTCAGTGGCAGGGTGTGAAAATGAGCTGATGTCTCCCAGGTCAGTCCCTGGGAATGCGGGTCCAGCCCGGGCGTGGCAAGGAGTAGCGAGGAACGATTTCTCTTCTGTTTTTCAGGCACAGATGTGAAGGATGCCAAGGTGATCAGTGTTTCCACAGGAACAAAGTGTATTAACGGCGAGTACATGAGTGATCGCGGCCTTGCGCTGAACGACTGCCACGCAGAAATCATATCTCGAAGATCCTTGCTTAGATTTCTTTACACACAACTTGAGCTTTACTTAAAGTAAGTTTAGCAAGTAAATAAGTAAAGGAAGCTGGTTTTTTTTTTTTTAATTGTTCTCTCATCAGAATGTATTGCAAAACTTTCCACTGCTTCTGTAAGCTCTGAAAAATTCTCAACCTAGTAACTTTCTGGGTAACAGTGAGGTTGGATCCCATTTCCCCGTGAAGCCGAATTATAACACACACACTTGCCTGTACATACACGCCACACGTGTAGTCAGAGGGGCCATGTCTGTGTTTCAGATCCCGAGCTTTCATTTTATGCAGAAGTAAGTGTTGGGGAGGGGGGCAGTGCTGCCCCAGTCACTGTGCCCGGAACCACTGACCGTGGACCTGACTGCTTCTCGCCACAGGCCACATCTGACACGCTTCCTTTCTGTTCTGAGGTCATGAATGAGGAGGAGAGGTTACTTGCGTATTGATGGCATGTCCCATTGGTGAGCAGACAGGAACTGTGCTAATTATCATTAACATATAAAATAAACACCCCGGTCCAAGCTTCTCATACCCCGTTGAAAACACTGGCCTTTGCAAATCATCGTAAGCCATGATAGACTAAATTTTGATTGTATTCAGCTTTCAAGTTTATCTTTGCAACTTGTTTCCTTTCAGTAGCAAAGATGATCAAAAAAGATCCATCTTTGAGAAGTCCGAGCGGGGAGGATTTAAGCTGAAGGAGAAGGTCCGGTTCCATCTGTACATCAGCACCTCCCCCTGTGGAGATGCCAGGATCTTCTCGCCACACGAGACCGTCCTGGAAGGTATGGCACCAGGCTCGTCCACGGCCACAGTGTCTCAAGAAAATTCATGACTGTGCTAGAACAGAGAAAAGGATAAACCTGCATTAATATCCTTTCTTCTTTAAAAATTTCAACCTTGGATGTGGACCTGGTAGGAATATATAAAAACATGAGGTTTTTCTTCTCAGTAAGTTGACATTTTAATGAATGAAAATGTGGATTCTAATGAGAAATTAGAATAGAGTGAGGATATTAGATCAAAACTGTTTTCAGTTTTTAAATTTGGGTAATACCTGTCTCTGAATTGGAAGTGTACGTCATCATCCATGTTTCTGGGGAGTCGTAGTTTAATGAGTGTGTAATCGAATTAGAAAAGCAGGTGCAGGCTGGTGGCCACCACGTGCCCTCCATCCTCCCTTGTTCTCACGTTTGTTAGTGCTCTTATTTCACAGGAGTTTGTACCCACATCCCTTCACAAGCTTAAGCATTATTTATTCCAAGTAGAACATTTGATTACTTTATTTTTCTTGATTATAACAGCAACATATACCCACTGTAGAAAGTTGCTAAATATTTTTAAAACATAAAAAAGAAAATTTAAATCACTCCATATTCATATAACCTGGAGATAATCACTCTGGATGTGTGTGAATGCTTCCTATGAATTTATTTCTGCATCAGTATAGATTTATTTTTGAAAATTTAAATACACAGCAAAGAAATATAGCAAATACCCAAATATCCATCACCTAGAATTAGCAAATGTTAGCATTTTGTCCTGTCTGCTTCAGCTCGTTTCTAATGATAGAAATAAATCATTTTGATTAAAATGGAAGCCCTCTTTTCTCCCAACCACTAAGGAGACCACCCTCTTGAGTTTGGTTTGTAGTATACCCTCCTGTCAGATTTTATGTACTTACATTGTACACACATATCTTATGTGTATATAGCATAAACACACGCACACATAAGTGTAAAGTGTATTTTGAATCGATAGGGTGTTGTTAGATGTGCTTTTCAGTGAGTTAAGTATGTGGTCAACTACCGGTGGACCCTCTCAAGAGGATCTTATGTTTCTGTCTTAGAACCAGCAGACAGACATCCGAATCGTAAAGCCCGAGGACAGCTGCGGACGAAAATAGAGTCTGGTGAGGGGACGATCCCAGTCCGCTCGAATGCCAGCATCCAGACCTGGGACGGGGTGCTGCAAGGGGAGCGGCTGCTCACCATGTCCTGCAGTGACAAGATGGCGCGGTAAGCACCCCCCAACCCCGCCGAGTACCTGGGGTGCATGCTGCCATTTCCAGAAACACCGGTGCTTCGCCCCCATTTCCTACCTCATGTGTTCCACAGATTCTCTGAAGGACTAAGGTTCTAAACAGGTGCTTCGGGGGTCACCTTGAGGGGATAAAGGTGGGGTCTCTGTGGGCAGAGGCTCTTGAGCCCTGGGAGGCATCACTACAAAGGCACTGTGGATTAAAATCATGGGCAATTGGTATTTGAACTCAACCTCCAGCCCCCTCCCCTCCCAGGAGATCGGGGGGCAGGACTGAAAGTTCCCACCTTCTATAATCACGTAGTTGGCTCCACAGACAACCAGCCCCCATCCTTAGGTGGGTGACAGAATTCACCTCATTAACATAAGACACGTTTATGGCTCTAATCACTTAGGAAATTCCAAGAGTTTGGGAGCTATGAGCCAGGAACCCCAGAAGAAGACCAAATACGTATAAGAAAAATATATTTTTGGTCATCTGAGTGACCAAGTATACTCTTCTGATGAATAACAATATCACAATTACTGTAGCTTCATAGTAAGTCTTGAGGTCAGATAGTCTCAGCTCTCCAACTTTGTTCTCCAGTGTTGTATTGGCTGTTCTGGGTCTTTTGCTCCTTCATATAAACTTTAGAATCAGTTTGTCAACATCCACAAAATACTTTGCTGGGATTTTAATTGGGTTTGTGTTGAATCTATAGATCAGGTTGGGAAGAACTGACATCTTGACAATATTGATTCTTCCTATCCATGAACATGGAATATCTCTCCATTTACTTAGTTCTTTGATTCTTTTGTCAGTTTTATAGTTTTCCTCATATAGGTCTTGAATATGTTTTGTTAGATTTGTACCTAAATATTTGATTTTGGGAGGTGTTAATGTAAATGGTATTGTGTTTCTAATTTCAAGTCCTACATGTTCATTGTCGGTCACAAAGGATTTTTGACCAAGGTTCAAAGCCAATTCAGTAGAGAAAGAACAGTCTTTTTAACAAATGGTGCTGGGACAATTGGACACCCCTATGGAGAAACAAAAGAAATGAACCTGATATTTTGCACCATATACAAACATTAACTGAAGATGTGTCACAGACCTAAATGTGTAAAATTTCTAGAAGAAAACAGGAGAAGATCCTGGCAACTGGGATAGGCAGTTTCCTAGACCCGATACCAGAAGCACTCTCCATGAAAGGAAAAAGTGACAAGTTGGACCTCACCAAATGAAAAATTACTTCTTTGAAAGACACTGTTAAAAGAATGAGAAATAAAGTCACCGACTGGAAGAAAATATTTACAAATCATATATCTGATAAAGGGCCTATATCCACAATATATAAAGACCCTCTAAACCCAACAAGGGGGAAAAACAATTTTTAAAACGGGCAAAATATTTTAATGGACACTTCACCAAAAAAGATGTCAAATTAGCACACAAGAAGATGCTCCACATCGTTAATCACGGGGAGTGCAGGAGGGCCGTGAAGGCACGTGCTTGGCTCTAAGGCTAGACCCCTGCCCGGCGCGGTGGGAACCCCGGGAGCTGGAGCACCATCCTCCCAGGCTGGGGACCGATGCTGCAGCCACTCTGAGGACAGCTTGGCAGCCGTGTGCCCCAGCCATTCTACTCCTGTTTCCCGAGAGAAAGGGAACCAGTGTCCCCAGAGACTCACATAGGAGCGCTCACAGCAGCTTCCCTGTACAAGTCAAAAGCTGGAAGCAGCCCGAACTGCTGTCAGCCTATAAACAGGGGTAAGCAGGGGGTGTGTCTGTGCCACGGGGCACTGCTCAGGCAAGGGACAGAATAAACAGTGACATACAGTCAGTGCAACATGGGCATATCACAAAATAGCTATGCAGAGTATGGGAAACCAGAGGAGTGCTTACTGTGTGATTCCCTGTCTGTAAATGTCTAGAAAGTGCAAACTACCTCACGGTGACAGAAAAGCAGATCAGTGGTTGCCCAGGGATCGGGGCCAGAGCAGGAGGGGCAGGAGGAAGGCCTCGAGCAAGGTGTGAGGAGACTCGGGGGTGTGTAAACATCAGGACTCCCCAGACCCTGTGCTTTAACCACGTGCGGGGCGCTGTGTGTCAGCTGCCCCTCAGCAGCTCACAGAAGTTAGGAAATGGTTGTAAGTAAGTGACAGAAAGCCCCACAGCTACTGAGTCAGAAAGAGAGCAGTAGAGCAAATCCAAATAAGTAGAAAAAAGAAAACGATAAAGACCAGAAATTATTATTAGACACAACAGAGATGAGCAGCGAGGAGCACCGAGACCAAGTGCTGCTTCTTTGAAAAAGGTAATGAAATCGGCAGAGCTTGGGCAAGTCTGACCAAGATAGAAGGCCCAACCAAGCCAGATTAGGGGAGGAAGAGCGGGTGGTCAGGGATTCAGCAGGAACGGAAATGTGCTCAGGTAGTTACAGTGAGAATTACGGACACTGCGTTACCAATATCTTTTTAAACTGAGATGAAATAAAAACTTTTTAGAAAAGTGTACATTTGTAAAATTGACTCAAGCATAGGTAGAAAATTTGAATGGAATTCTAGCCATTAATTAAACCAGTCACCCCCCACTCCCAAGAAATAGGTAAATTGAAGCAAGTCAAAGAGGTGGCTGTGGAGAAAGAGGACGCAGGTCTCCCAGGAGGCTTTTCTGTGAGAGGCTCTGCATTTGGGGGGTGGGGGGGGGCAGCAATCCCTGCTTATATAATCATTTCTACAGATTAGGAAAGTAGGGAAACAACCGCAGCTCATTTTGTGGGCTGCCTACCACCTGTATCCCAAACCAGACCAGGAAGGAAAACAAAGTGACAAGCCATCCTCAATTATAAAAACATTCACATTTACACTGAATCCAATCGTACTTTTTTTTTTGCTGTACGCGGGCCTCTCACTGTTGTGGCCTCTCCCGTTGCGGAGCACAGGCTCCAGACGCGCAGGCTCAGCGGCCATGGCTCACGGGCCCAGCCACTACGCGGCATGTGGGATCTTCCTGGACCGGGGCACAAACCCGTGTCCCCTGCATCGGCAGGCGGACTCTCTACCACTGTGCCACCAGGGAAGCCCCAATCGTACTTTTAATAGCTTGATCGGTTTTTTCCAAATCTATAACTTCAATCAAAATCTCGTTTTTCATAGCACTTGACACTCAATTGGAAAAGTAACCGCGTCAAGCTGAGTGGTAAAGGCAGCAGGGAGGTGTCATAGAGCACAGACCTGGAGAGGGACATCCGGGTACATGGTGCCCCAGTTGTGAGCAGGTTCGCCTACACTGAGGAGGAAACATAACTGGATAGAAGTTTATTGATCTCTCATGGAAATCAAGTTTGGGAACAGGTCACCCGGAGCTGCTGTGGTCGGCTGGTCACCCTGAGGCCAGGCTCCGTCCTCCTGCACCGCCACTGTATCGCCTGTCCTCAGGGTCTCCCCGGTGCCCAGAGCTGGCCAAATCCCCAGCAGCAGGAGGGCCAGACGGGCAGGCCTCCAGCGGCTCGGGCTGGCAGGGCAGCTGCGTTTCACCACCGAGGACCTGGTGTGCGGCCGCATCTCCTTGCGGAGGAGCCTGGGTTAGCTGCCGTCTGGAGGGGGATGGAGGCCCTGTTGCTCAGAAGGGAAGGGACGCGGGGCTGCAGCTGCGGTCTGTGCCACGTGGGGGACTCGTGGGCGAGGTGACCCGGCTGGCGACCATCCTGAGCCAGGGCCGTGTGCGCAGAGGCACCTGCCGACAGATGGAGACCCGGGGCTGCACCGAGGTGCCCGGCACTGCTGGCGGGCCTCCACCTCAGCAGGCTTCTTCAGCAGGGCACAGAAAGCCCAAATGAGAAAGAAAACCATGAATCAGTTTGACCATATTGAAATTTTAAAACTTATGTACCAAAACCCCCATAGATATATTGGAAAGAAAAGCCACACGCTGGGAAAAGAGATCTGACTCACATAACCAGCAAAAGGTTTGTAAAGATAATTCCCACAGCTCAGCAAGTCAGAGGCATGGACTGGAAGGGCCTTTGCTGGGGTGCTGTGAATGCTCCATCTTCCTGAAGTGGGGCTCCACCCATGCACATAAAAGTCAAAACTCAGGGACGCAAACCCTTAAGATCTGTGCCTTTCACCGTGTACAATGGTCGTCATCTTGAATAAGCAGATGCAAGGCAGGAGGAAGGGGACAGCGTGGGGACAAGTGCCCTGTCCTGCCCCCTTCCCAACCCTGTGGCTCCACCACCCAGGGCTAGCGCTTGGCCTGTGAAGCTGCCCCCGCTCAGACACGGGGGCTGGGATTGGGGGTCAGGTTCCTACACACCCCTGACTTGACTGCAAATCGAGGGTCCCAGATCGACCATCCGTGGGTTCAGTAGATCGCTAGGAAGGCTCACCGATCAGCCAGATGGAAGGGGTACGTGGGAGGAGGGGCCCACCCCTCAGCCTGGGGAGCTTCCAGCCCTGTCCTCAGGGGTCTCTATGCAGACGGATTGAATCCTTGGTCCTTGGTGATTAACTCAACCCCAGCCCCTCTCCCCTCCCGGAACCACCCTCTAATCTTGTGGTTGGTTCCCCTGGCCACCAGCCCCTTCCTCCCGAGTCACCTGGTCAGCATGAATCCGGCATGGTTGAAAGTGGCTAATCGCTTGGTATCACACCAGCAAATGGCCGGATGGCGCCACGAGGCGGCCAGCTCCTCACAAGCCCCTCCCGTCCCTGCCGTGGGGGAGTGAAGAGTCCCCTGGGCCGTTCCGTCCCCTACGGAAGGCCCACAGCAGGTACGGGGAGGGCTGACCTGGGTCTTAGAGAGAGGCAGGGCCACCTCCCACAGATGGTTCCAGATGGGGACAAGGGCAGTGGGCCGGCTTTGGAGTGAGGCCACGGTGGGCTGGGGTGGGGGAGGTGAGCCCTGCTGCCGGGGTCCATTTGGAGGGCAGTCCTGGGAGCAGCGTGGGGCGCGGGGTGGGAGGGGCCTGCGGGGGGCTCCCCGTCTCTGGGTGAGTTCTGTCGGCTGCGCCGGGCGTGGGAGGGAGGGAGGGAGGGAGTTCTCGGCACTGCTGGGCCCGGAGGTGGGGGGGGGCAGAGTCCACCTGCCGCAGGGCAGCAGCTTGACTGTTCAGAGCGCTGGGGGTCCGCCACCTTCACTGTGTGGGCGCAGACTCAGAGGTGGGCCAGGAGGGCGAAGGGGGTTTGTGCCCCCCCGGGATCGGGGGGAAGGCTGTAGGTTGGCACAGGGGAGCTGGGCCAGGGACGTGACAGCACGATCACGCTCTGAAGCCCATCCTCCGAGAAGTGACAGAGCAGGAGGGACGCCTGTGTGCAGCCGCCTGTGTGCTGGGGCGCCAGCACTGCAGCCCCTGTGAGGCGGGGTCGTGGGGTGGGGCCAGTTTCCAGTCTTCACAGAGGGCTGCCCTGGGGCGGGGGGCTGCAGCGCACACACCCTATGCGTGCACATCCTCGCTGTTCCCTGGAACGCTCACTGGCAGGAGATGCAGCGGAGTGGCTGGTGTGCCAGACCATCGCCCACCAGGGCCTCCGCAGAGCAATTGTGCGTAGAGTTCGCGAAGCGTGTGTTCAGAGCTAAGGGCTTGTAATGAGTATAGGTTCTGCAGGATCGCCGCTTTCAAGTTTGCCCCAGGGGTCTGAATGCAGCTTAGTACGGCCTAAACCCACGAAGAAGCTTCTGATTTACATTAGAAAGGGTGCCCTGTGGTGTTCGTAAGCACCGAATGTTTCTTGCTTTTCCTCGCTAGATGGGAAAACGTGTGTTTTAATTTCCTCTTTAGAGGGTGGGAGGGATGGGATGTAGCAATTTGAGGATTTGTCCATTCAGCACGTATTGGTCTTTGTATGCCAGGCGTGTAGGTTAAGTGCTGGGGCATTTCCAGAGAACTAAACAGCCCAGCCCCCTCCACGTGGAGTGTATTAGGGGAGGGCGGGTGGTGGCGCACGGTAAGTGCTGCAGGAGGGGGGGGAGGTACCAGGCCAGACGGGCTGGCCGGCACCGGAAAGGTGGTGCTTCCTGGGGAGAAGATGGGGTGGGTGGGAGGGCTTGCGCTGAGGAGTGGCCTGGCCTGGGTTTCCACAGGGTCACGCGCGACTGTCCGGGAGGGGCCCCGGGGGTGGGGGCGTGTTTGCTGGGCTCCCCGTGGGAGGGGGCGGCGAGGGGGGCAGGGAGGTGACCTGACCCGGGTCCAGCAGAGGCCGTGGCGGCGGCCCCTGATCTATTCCGAGAGGAGGTCCCACAGGTTTGCTGGCCGTGGGCCGGTGGCAGGGGTTTGGCCTGAGCCACGGAGCACGGGCTGGGCCGCTCAGGAGTTTGGGCCGCCCGCCCTGCTTACTGGCGCCGCGGTGCCGGTGGTGAGAGTGGAGCCGGGCAGGGCCGGGCCGGGGCTCTGAGGGCGGAGCCCGGGCCTTGCCTTCACGCCCCCAGTCCTCTCAGGGTCTGCCGGCCCCCGGGCCCAGCCCTGTCCCCACGTACTGCTGACACGTGCTGTGCGGGGGCAGCTCCCCTGCGGCCTCCTACCCGCGGTCTGGGGTGCGGACCCGGTGGGTCCTGTGCTGGGCTCCCCGCCTGAGCTTGAAGAGCCCCCGCTGCCCCTCCCCCAGGACCGGCCGGCCTCCCCACCGCTTGCTCCCTGCCTGCCTGGCCGCGTCCCCTCCGGGACCCTCCCTGAAGTCGGCACCACCTTCTTCCTCGGGGACTCTGCCTTCCCTCAGGTTGATTTCCCTCAGTTTTTAATTCTTGGTTCACACGTTTGCCTTGTTGCCGCTTGCGCCCGTAGGACGGCCCGCTGGCTCCAGGGGCGCGTGGGCTGTGCCCCTCAGCTGCCCAGACTCAGCACCCGGCGGCGCGGGTGCTTGGACGTGGGCTCCCAAGGCCCGGAGAGCGGCCCCCCTGCTGTGTGTAGGGATCGGGCAGCGGTGTGTCTGGTGGTGTCGAGCGCGAAGCCCTGGAGGGTCGGTGGTGTGACGGGGTGGGGGACCCTCACACACGCCAGCCAAACGCAGGGTCAGGGCGGTCGACCCCGCTGCGGGGGAGCAGGAAGGAATCCGTTCCCGGTCTCCGGGGGCTCCTCTACAGCTGCCTCCGTATTTATTAGAAGTAATAAAGATTTATTTTTCCTTTTGATTTTTCTCATCAGAAACGTGGCTCGTTGATACCTTTTCCGAGCTAAATAATCTTCAGTAAATGTGTCATCGTGGGAAACATAAAGGCAAAGATCGTGCCTGCAGAAGAGAATTTCTAAGCAGATTTTTTAAAATTTCAAACTGCGAAGTGGGTTATTTTTAACCGCTGCCCTCTTGCAGTTGGCTGACACTTGCACAGCGTGAGCGGTGCCGCATAAGCACACCGCTGTGGAGGGCACGGGCTGGGGGGGCCGCACTGAGGAGCCTGTCCCTCTGCCTTCAGGTGGAACGTGGTGGGCATCCAGGGGTCCCTGCTCAGCGTCTTTGTGGAGCCGATCTACTTCTCCAGCATCATCCTGGGCAGCCTCTACCACGGGGACCACCTCTCCAGGGCCATGTACCAGCGCATCTCCAACATAGAGGACCTGCCCGCCCTGTACACCCTCAACAAGCCTCTGCTCAGCGGCAAGTATCTCCGGGGCGGCCTCCTTCCTCTGTCCCACGCACCTGATTTTGCAGCCTCTGAGTCTTAGGAGGGAAGCACCAGAGGGAGGCTGCCCTGAGGCTATGGGGGAGCCCGGGCCAGAGCGGAAGGCGATGGGTCATTTGAGTGAGTCCCTCGAGATTACTCTCTCTAGCTGATTGAAAACCTTGCCATTTATGGGGAAACTAGAGCCCAGGCTCAGCACCTGTGTGCTTTTCTTTCACCCGTACTGGTGTGTTCAAGTCCTGTGTCAGTAGCAGAGGCTCACAGATGTTGTGAGGATCCCGCAGGCAGCGGCCGCCCGAGATGAAGCTGGGCCGGGCCCCGCGGGTTACGTCAGCACAGTGATGAGCCCTGCAGGCGGCCGGCGCCACACTCCCAGGCCTGCTCGCAGAGGTTGGCGATGGGGTGTGTGTGCCCCTGACGAGCAGTGGTGTCTCTCAGTGGGGACTTGCCCCTACCCAGCGTGCCCTGTGCTACCAGTTGTTTGTTGTTTCTCTTTTAGAATGTCAGTGGCTAACAGTAAAGTGAACAAGAGCTTTTGAATTCAAGGGTCCTAACTGCTCAGGTCACCTTTATTTAAAAGGACACAGTTAAGGTATTTTTATCCTTTTGGAAATATCGCTTTACCTACTTTTTTAAGCTAGAACTAAAACCGTAACCCTGAACTAGAATGCCTGTTGGTGTGCGTGTGTTTTGCCGTGGTCTGTGGTCTTGCTACTAGCCCATCTCTAACTAAGCAAAGCAACGTGGAACTTTATTTGAAAGCGTATCTCTTAGAGCACATGAATTACACAGGAACGAGAAAAACAAAAGTTGTTTTGGATCAAATTTTACAGCTCTCTAACTTTAACCGTTGTCTTTTAAGAAAAAAAAAAACAGACATAAAATTTGGTGGTTGAAATTGTAGCATCCACACCCATTGAACTTCCACTGGTAGATACGACGTAAGTGTACTTTGGTGTGTGTTGGTGTGTAAATTTCTCACGAGTCAGAAAATAATTTTCCCTGCTTAGTCTGTGTTCTACATTTGAGGAGAGAGTGCTTTGTTTCATTACAGCCGTCACTTGTCTCTTACGTTCATAGCCACCGAAAACATCGTGTGTGAAACACGCGGCATGCAGGAGGCGCTCAGCAGTCGTTGCTGACTAGTGCCCTGTTGCGTGGTGCTCACTAAGCGGTGTTGCTCCACCACTGCGACCTAAAAAGACAGGACCATTTCGCTAAAGGACTATTCCAAGGTCTTGAAAGGATAGCTCACCTGTGAAAGTCAAATGTGTTTTACCACATCATAGGTATATGAAGGGCATCTGTATCTGTGAAAACGTGGAAAAATAGTGTTTCAGTTGGCACTGCACCACATATATTTGTTAAAAACATGAAATTATAAATAAGGAAAGAATCTGCTCTTCTTTCTTCCTCCCCGGTATCATCTCTGACCCCAAAGCCTGGGGCCCACAGGTACCACTGCGGGTGTCGTCACAGACAAAAGGATTCAAACAGCAGAAGTCTGGAGGTGGGGGGGGGTGTCAGTGTCTTAAGGTCTTGGGAGGTCACACTCCTTTGAAATGGGCCCCACAGCAAAGCCCTCAAAACTTTCTCACAGCGGGTCCCACAGTTAGTAAGTGCCCAGGGCAGGAGCACCCAGCACATGTGGGTTGTCCCATTCTGGTCCTCTGGCTGTGCACACGTGGTGCGCATCTGTGTGTTTAACAGTTCGCGTCGTGTTTGTCGTTCCTCTTTCACTTCACGGTTTATCGCAGATCATTCCCACGTTGAAAAGAGAACGATATGTGACAGCAGCGAGAGAACCGTAGTGTTGGAAGGGAGCAAGGAAAACGGACCTGAACGCCGTGCAGAGAGAGGCTGACGTAACTAAACAAGGTTTCCTGGAAACCAGAGCAACTCTAGCTGGACTTATTTAAAGACTTAGCAGTGAGCTGTTTTTGAAGATGCTGTCGAGGTTAAAATGAGAATTTTATTTTAATTTCAGCATAAACAGCATGCGTTTACTTTCGGAAAGAATTTCCTGGTCGTGAGCCTTTGCCTTGGAGGCTCACGTGATGCTCTTCCTCGGCCTCCTGAGCTCTCTCGTTTATCCTTTTCAGATTAGTTTCAAATCCAGCACCTGCACGTTTCAGGACAGTTCTGCCTTCTCCACTGGACCCCTGAGTCTGAGCTTCTCGACTGGCCCAGTTTGCTGTCCATGTGCACTGGGAGAACTCAAGAAGAAAGACCAAGGTGCTGGACTGGCCCAGTGCCCCAGCTCCAGGGGCCGTGGTCACAGCCAGGCTGCCCGGGGTCACGGGGTGAGACTCCCCCCAGTGCTGGTTTTACTGCCAGCGATGTCACAAAACAGGAGCACCCAGAGGAAGAGGCCAAGATGGGGAAGCAAGGGTGTGAGCTCACCTCCCCATGAGCTCCACAAAGATACCTCCACACGGAGCACTCCTCACTGAACACTAGCTGCAAACTGGCAGGAGGATGGCTGTACAACCAAGGCTGCAAGAAGGAGACACACGTAATTGGGTGGGACAGGAAGCAGAGCGGCGGGTCGCGACCTGTGCCCCCGAGAGGAGACTCAGAGGAAAAGGGAGATCGCAGGGCTGACACCAGCCCTGGGGAGTGAGTCGTGAGAGCCACAGACAGGGCATCCTAGTCCTGGGGTCCTGCATGTAGGAGACAAGCCTCTCGTTCCTCGGAGAGCCGCTGGGACAGATGGAAGGGCTGGAGAAGCCTGGACTCCCCGCTGTTAAGGAGCACGGGTGCTGGCTGACCCCATGTAGGGAGGGGAGAGGTCTGCCTTAGTGATGCTTCTGTTCTGCTCTCCCCAGCCTGAGCGGAGCAACCACCCTGGCCCTGCCCACCCCACCCCACACCTCGGCACTGGACCTAGGGCAGCCAGGACCGGGGAAAAGACTTGATCTGAGGATGCAGAGGTGACCCAGAGGCCTGGGGTGTGGTCTGGGTGGGGTGATGTCAGCCACTGTTGGTGCTTACTCAGGTGGCCACCTGAATTCCCATGACCGCCTCGGCACATGTCCCAGCCCAAGCTGAGTGAACACCCCGACCCTGCCTACTCCACTCCACAGCACAGCACTAGACAGGGGAAAAGATGTGACCATGGGCTGCATCTGAGCAGAGCTGCAGACGCCTACACAGGCAGCGCATCAGACCTCTGTAAGCACACAAGCCCCTTTGGCTTCAGCACTCCCCTCCCTTGGGGCAAAGTACTCAGTGCAGGAGATGGAAAAACACACACTTCAAGGGCACAGAGCCAACTTGAGCCCAACCCTCAGGGCTTCCGCTCCAGCAGCTTGGTTGCTGACCTCACCCCTGACAGGGTGGCGATGGCCACTGAGCAGAGAGGAAGTCCTACCTCATACCCTGCCCCGCACATGCTCTAGCCCCTCCATCTCCAGCCACATCCCCTCCCAAGGTGACAGTGGCCAGCATACCCTGAGGAAAGATGTGACTGGTGTCCACATCAAATCCAGCCCTCACAGCAAAGACACTGGGCAAACAGTCTGCATAGTGATGCCCCCACGTTGGATCATCCCTTGAGGACCACCATAGGTAACTGCTTCAGGTAAATGCATAGAGACAGGGAAAGTTAAATAAAATGAAAAGGCAGAGGAACTACTCTCCATTGGAAAAAAGAGAAAACTCCAGAAAAAATAATGTAACAGAAATAAGCAATTTACCAAAGAATTCAAAACATTGGTAACAAAAATCCTGAGTTAGGGAAGAGGATTGCTCTAAACACAGATCTTCTTAATAAGGAACTAGAAAATATAACAAAGACCCAGTCAAAAATAGATAATTCAATATCTGAGATTAAAAAGCATTCTAGAAGCCACAAGTAATAGACTAAATGCCACAGAAGAACACATAAGTGATCTGGAAGATAGAATAATGGAAATCACCCAATCAGAACAGTAGACAGAAAGACAAATGAAAACAAAACAAAACCAAAAAACGAGGAACATACGAGATCTCTGGGATAACATCAAACATGCCAACACTTGCATTTTAGGGTTTCTAGAAGGAGGAGAGAGAGAGAAGGGTATCGAAATTATGGCTGAAACTTCCTAAACCTAAGGAAGGAAACAGATATCCAGGTACAGGAAGTACAGAGGGTCCCAAACAAAATGAACCCAATCAGACCGACACCAAGATATATAATTAAAATGGCAAAAGTTCAAGATAATGAATTCTAAAGGCAGCAAGAGAAAAACAAGGAGTCAGTTACATGGGAACCCTGATAGGTCTGTCAGCTGATTTCTCTGCAGAAACTTTGCAGGCCAGAAGGGAGGGGCATGACATATTCAAAGTGCTGAAACCTGGGATACTCTAACCAAAAAGGTTATTATTTAGAATAGAAGAAGAGATAAAGGATTTCTTAGACAAGCCAAAACTAAAAGAATTTGACAATACTAAACTTACCCTAAAAGAAATGTTGAAGGGTCTTCTCTAAATGGAAAAGAAGTAAGAATATGTAGGAAAGAGAAGATCCCAATAGGAAAGGCAAATATGTAGTAAGGATTGAAGATCACTTAAATAATCCAGTATGTAATTAAAAGACAAATGTAAAAGCAGCTGTGACTACAATATACAGTAAAGGGATAAACATGAAGATGTAAAATATATCAAAAATACAAAATGTGGGGGAGGAGAGTAAAAAATGTAGCTCTTTTAGAATGCATTTGAACTTAAGTGACTCAGTTTAAATCAAGTAGTTATGATCATGGGTCAACATATAGGAACCCCAAGGTAACCACAAATCTAAAACCTACAATAGGTACACAAAAACCAAAAAGAAAGGAACCCAAGCATACTACTAAAGAAAATCATCAAACCACACAAGGGAAATGAAAAGAAGAAATGAACAGAGAAGAACTACAAAAACAACTGGAAAACAAGTAATAAGATGGCAATAAGTACATACCTATCAATATTTATAGTTTAAATGTCAATGGAC